CTCTCTTTGAGCTTTAGAGAAGCTTGGTGGAAACTTGTTTAGAACAAGGAAATTAACAATGTGAGCGTACCAAGGGCGAATTTCCTTAAGAGAGAAAAGAGTCTCATCGGGAAATTCCCCCCGGATATCATCCTTAATATGATTGTTCCCTTGATCAAGGACTAAACGGCTCAAGTGATCGGCCACCAAGTTCTCCATGCCCTTCTTGTCTTTGATCTCAACGTCAAACTCGCTCAAGAGTAGTATCCACCGAATCAACCTTGGTTTGGCCTCCTTTTTTGTCATCAAAAATCTAAGAGCCGCATGATCGGTGTAGATGATCACTTTGGTTCCTAGTAAGTATGACCTGAATTTTTCTAGTGCATAGTCGACGGCCAACATTTCTTTCTCGGTGGTGGCGTAGTTGTGTTGGGAATCATTGAGTGTGGTGGATGCATAGTAAATCACATGAGAAGCTCTTCCCACCTTTTGGCCCAAAATGGCCCCGACCGCATAGTCGCTAGCATCACACATGATCTCAAATGGAAGAGACCAATCGGGAGCTTGGATGATAGGTGCGGTTACTAGCTTTTCCTTCAACGTATTGAAGGCCTTCTTGCATTCCTCGGAGAAGATGAATTCCACCTCCTTTTGCAAAAGAGTGCATAAAGGAGATGCAATCTTTGAGAAATCTTTGATGAATCTCCGGTAGAAACCTGCATGTCCAAGGAATGACCGTATCTACCTAACGGTGGTAGGATAAGGGAGTGATTGGATGACTTCAACTTTGGCCTTGTCAACCTCTATCCCTTTGGATGAGATCACGTGGCCTAGAACAATTCCTTCTTCCACCATGAAGTGGCATTTTTCAGAATTCAAAACAAGGTTTGATTCTAAACAACTTTTGAGTACAAGAGATAGATGATATAAGCATGAGTCAAATGAGTCTCCATGGATTGTGAAGTCATCCATGAATACATCCATAAATAGCTCAACATACTCGGAGAATATGCTCATCATGCATCTTTGGAAGGTGGCGGGTGCGTTGCAAAGTCCGAATGGCATACGTCGATAGGCAAAAGTGCCAAATGGACAAGTGAATGTTGTTTTCTCCTGATCTTCAGGGGCTATGGGTACTTGAAAATACCCGGAGTAGCCATCAAGGAAGCAATAGAACTTATGCCCCGCAAGTCTCTCAAGCATTTGGTCAATGAAGGGTAAAGGAAAGAAATCCTTTCTAGTTACCGTATTGAGGCGACGGTAATCTATACATACCCTCCATCCATTTTGAATTCGGGTGGGCATAAGTTCTCCATGTTTGTTCTCCACCACCGTGACTCCGGTCTTTTTGGGAACAACTTGGGTTGGACTAACCCACTTGCTATCGGAAATGGGGAAGATTATCCCCATTTGGAGAAGTTTGATGACCTCCTTTTTGACCACCTCCATCATAGGTGGGTTCAATCTCCGTTGTGGTTGGCGCACCGGCTTGGCTTCATCCTCCATCAAGATGCGGTGCATGCAAGTAGATGGACTAATGCCTTTTATGTCGGCTATAGTCCATCCGATTGCAAGTTTGTGCTCTTTAAGCACCGCAATCAACTTCTCTTCTTGATCTCCGGTCAGTTTGTTTGAGATTATGACCGGTAAAGTTTCTTTTTCTCCCAAGTACACATATTTCAAATGTGTTGGGAGTGGTTTCATCTCAACTTCGGGGGCCTGTAAAATAGAAGGCAAAGGTTTTTCTTCGGGGATGGTTAGTGGAAATGCTCTTGACCCCGGTGGCATAAGTGGGAGTTGGAAATGATTATCCAATTCCACCATCATTGCTTGTATGTTTGGGGTCAAAGCAAGTTCTAAAGAATTTTCCCCAAAGTCATTCTCAATCACACTTAATAATTCATCCTCCCCATTCATTTCAAAAGTGTCTTGCACAAGAGGATCAATAATGTCAATGGCAAATAGAGAATAATTTTCATTTGGGTATTTCATGGAGTCATAAATGTTAAATTCAACTTTATCTCCATCAAATTCCATTGTTAAAGATCCGCTAAAAACATCGATTTTAGCTCTAGCGGTCTTTAAAAATGGCCTTCCTAAAAGGATAGGAACCGCATTCTTATCATTTTCCATTTCCAAAACATAAAAGTCGGCGGGAAAGATCAAATTGTCTACCATAACTAGTATGTCTTCGACAATACCCTTAGGGTAGGCATTTGATCTATCCGCAAGTTGAATAACTACTCCGGTTTCATTTAGAGGGCCAAGTTCAAGTGATTTATACAAAGAGTAAGGGATGACATTAATTGATGCTCCCAAATCTAACATGGCCTTTGAAAACGTAGTACCTCCCAACTTACAAGGTATAGTGAACATGCCCGGGTCATTGTATTTTTTTGGAAGTTTCTTTTGAAAAACCGCGGAAACACGTTCACTAACTTGGACTTTTTGTTTTCCATTGAGTCTATGCTTTCTTTTTATTGTGCATAACTCCTTAAAAAATTTTGCAAATCTCGGGACACCTTTTATTAAGTTAAGGAGAGGAATATTTACCTCACATTTGGAGAATGTCTCATAGATGTCCTTATCTTTCTCCACCCTTTTTGTTTCCCTTAGAGCTTCGGGAAACGGTGCTTCCACGTCATGAATAACCGGGGGTGGAGCTAAAATGTGAGCTTCCTCTTCCTCCGGTTGAGCTTTGTCCGCAAGCTCCTCTTCCTCTTCTTCGCCAATGTCGCTTTTGGCTTTCTCCTTGGCAATCACCAATTCTTTGCCACTCCTCAAAGTCACCGCATGGGCTTGTTGCCTAGGATTCGGCTCCGTTTGAGATGGAAGCTTTGTTGAATCCTTGGCTTCAAGCCTACTCACCGCACTTGAGATTTGGCTCATTTGATTCTCAAGGTTTTGGATGCTTGATTTTGTCTCATGTTGGAATTGAACCATGTTTTGTTGCATGGTTGAGACATTTGAGGTGAGTGCTCGGATCATGTCTTCGGTGGACATAGTTGAGCCTTGGCCTTGGGGTTTAGAGTACGGTTGTTTATTTGGAGGGAATTGATTTGGTGGAGGGTTATTTTGTTGTGGATTTCCTTGCGGATTCCCATAACGAAGATTGGGGTGGTCTCTAAACCCAGGATGATAAGTGTTGCCGTAAGAATCATACCTCTTTTGGTTTGGGAACCCCAAAGCGTTGACTTGCTCGAGGTTTTCTTCTTGAAGGGTCGGGCATGCATCGGTGGGGTGACCTTGTTGTGTGCAGATGCCGCAGACCTTGACTTCTTGGGTCTTGGAATTTAAAAGAAAATCCTTAACCAAAGAAGTCAAGCCGGCAACTTGACTTTCTAGTGACGATGTTGATTCGGCCGCCATAACTCTTTTTGTTGATGACCGTCCGTTGTGATATCTACAATTCTCGGCCAACTCCGAGATAAGATTCATAGCTTGAGAAGGAGTCTTGTTAACGATTCCTCCTCCACATGCGGCATTAATCATCCGTCTATCATCATTGCAAAGACCATCATAAAAGTATAGGATGAGGTCTTGCTCCAAATAGCCATGATACGGACAGCTTGCACAAAGTTTCTTGAATCGTTCCCAATATTCATAGAACGATTCATCATCTTTTTGCTCCACATTGCTTATTTGCTTTTTGAGAGATGAGGAGACAGAGGCTGGATAGTACCTTTCAAGGAAAGCTTTCTTCATGGCCGCCCATGTATCTATACTTCCCGAAGGAAGATAGAATAGCCAATCTTTTGCGGTATCTTTGAGGGAGAATGGAAAGGCCCTCAACTTTATCTGTTCCTCGGTGACTCCATTAGGGCACATGCTCGTGCAAACAACATGGAACTCCGAGAGATGTTTATTTGGGTCTTCTCCTCTTAAGCCATGGAAGGATGGCAAAAGATGAATGAGCCCTGATTTGAGCTCAAATGTATTACCTTCGTTGAGTGTAGGGAAGGTAATACATAGCGGTTGTTGATTCAAGTTTGGAGTTGTGAGCTCCCTCAACGTTCTTGTTTCGAGAGCCATAGCTGTTGGCTCTTCAGGTTCGCTAGAATAGGAGCTAGCGCTTGATGAATCTCTCGAGTCGGTAGTTGAGAATTTATTTTTCAACCGTTCGAGAGCTTGCTCTATTTCGGGGTTTGATTGGTAGGTGATTTCGTTCAGTGAACGATATTTTACCATATACTTTACAAAGCTCAGAAATAGAAGAAGAACTCTTTATATCTTATTTAATTATATTTTTTTTTATTTTTCTTGAAATGAAAGAAAAATAATTGCCTTTCCCCGGCAACGGCGCCAAATTTGACGTGCACTTTGTCGTGATGTGCACTCAAAATAATAATCAATACGACACTAATACGTAGTATAGTGAAGTAAGGTTCGTGTCCACAGGGAAAGGAATACTTTTCTTCTTACAGAAATAGTTAAGTAACAATAAGGGGAGTTTATATTTGGTTGATGAACTTTAAATTATATTTAAACACGAAGATGAACGAGTTATGTAGTTTAATTAATGAGATGAAGACTTGGCTTTGCTTTTATCCACTTAATGAAATGTTCGTCGATCCCGGTTATATCTTTAACTATCTTCCTCTCGAATACTCAATCGAGGAGTATATCCAATTCATCGAGGGTAGTTATTAATAACGAGACGCGTTCATTAATAAAACTTACTACCGAGTTAATATAGAACATGCGCCGTATATTTACTCGATAGTAGCAATAAAATCAAGATGAAAACGATTGAGATTGATAACCCCAACACAAGCGGTTTATTGGTTTAATCAATATAATTAATTCCCCTTGGCTTATTAACCATGAGACGCATGCATTAACAACCCAAGTTTACTACTGTGAAGGGACTGAGTTAATAACAAGCGTATTAATCGACCGATTCTAGTATTAATTAATATATGAAACAAAACTAGTTGATCCTTTAAGTATTGCTCAAAATATTAATATGTAATAGGAATAGGAATTAATTAATATTCAAGGAAGAAGATTAAAGAAAATAACTCACAACTTACAATTCATTAAGCTTCAAAGTAGCAAAACCAAGATGGAAGAGTTTAGCTCCTCATTTGGAGACTAAACATGAAGAAAAAATAAAGAAAGAACTTGTCTAGACTGAGCTTAGAAGTATATAGGAATTGGTGATTTATTGTGGAGGAAATGGGGTGTATTTATAGGCTTTTTAGGCCTGCAGGGTCGTGTACCTGATCGGGCTTTCAGCTCACTCGATCGGGTATAAAAGGTGGCTTCTTCGAAGCTGGAAAAGGGGTCATACCCGATCGGGTCTGTCGGTCACCCGATCGGGTATGGACACCCGAACGTGTTAAAATCCTCCCGCATGATGCCTTGTTCCCGGATTTGATTTGATTCGATTTTTCAGAAGGGTACCCGACCGGGTATAGGTCATACCTGACCGGGTACAGACCAAAAACGAGATCTTCACTTTTTTTCTTGTATTCTTGCACCTTCCTTGCACTTGTGATGTTCACCAATGGTCTCCAAAGTGTACTTGGACCTGTTTGAGCTCAGAATAAACCTAATCTAAACATATTACAAATATTTTACAAACTAAACTATTTACACCAAAAGTGTGTAATTTCCAAAGTAACAATCACTCGAAACTAATTAAAAACACAAATTTAAATATGGAAATTACATGAATGTCAGCATCCCAAGAATCTGTTGAGCCGGTCCTAAGTCTTTCATATCAAAAGACTTAGAGAGTTCTTTCTTCAGTTGGTTTATCTTTACTGCATCTTTCCCAACGATCAACATGTCGTCTACATATAGTAGAAGAGCAATGAAGGTACCGTCTGGAAGTTTCTTGATGTATACACACTCATCTGCTGTAGTCTTCTTGTAGCCTTGACTCTTCATGCATGAGTCAAACTTCTTATTCCACTGCCTTGGTGCCTGCTTCAAGCCATACAAACTCTTAGATAATTTACACACAAAATTATCATTTGAGTTCTCAAAACCTTCCGGCTGCTGCATGTAGATTTCTTCTTTCAAATCTCCGTGAAGAAATGCTGTCTTCACATCCATTTGTTCAAGCTCCAAGTTCATACTTGTTGCCAAGCCAAGTATAACTCGGATTGAGGTCATCTTGACAACTGGTGCAAAGATCTCATCAAAGTCAATTCCTTTCTTCTGCTGGAACCCTTTGACAACCAACCGAGCTTTGTGTTTCACCACTTGTCCGTTTGCATCCTTCTTCAGCTTGAACACCCATTTGTTCCTCAAAGCTTTCTTCCCTTTAGGAAGTTCTACGATCTCATAGGTTTGATTTTTCTGTAGAGATTCTAACTCATCCTGCATTGCTATTAGCCATTTTTCTTTATCCTTGTGAGACATAGCTTCTTGAAAACTCTCCGGTTCTCCATCTTCAGTTAACAAAAGATATTCAGATGATGTGTACCTTGTCGATGGTATATGCCCTCGTTCAGATCTACGAACAGTTGGAACCATCTGAGAAGAGCTACCATCATTTGTGTCTGGCGGGGTGGATTGTGTCTCCCCTTGCTCTGCACTCTCTTCTGTCTCCTCCTCTTCGGCTGCTTCTGAGTTATCTTCATGCACTTCGTCCTCTTCTGGTGCTTCATTTGAAACTTGAGCACCCTCATTTGACTTCAGAGACATTGTGGGTTTTTCAATGTCTTCTATTGTCAAATCTTCGTGGAACACAACGTCCCTACTTCTGAACACCTTTTTCTCCTTAGGATCCCATAACCTGTATCCAAACTCTTCATTTCCGGAGCCAACGAAAATGCATGGGATAGTTTTTGCATCGAGCTTCTGCCTGAGCTCTTTGGATACATGTGCATATGATGAACAACCAAATACTCTAAGATGTGAGTATGTAGGATCCTTACCTGTCCATAGTCTCTCTGGAACTTCAAAGTTCAGTGGTACTGAGGTGATCGGTTGATAAGATAGCATGCGGTGTTGACTGCTTCTCCCCAGAATGACTTCAGAAGTTTAGCCATATTCAGCATGCTCCGAACACGCTCCATGATAGTCCGGTTCATTCTTTCAGCAACGCCGTAGTGCTGAGGGGTGCGTGGTACTGACTTCTCATGTCGAATGCCATATTCTCTGCAATATGCATCGAACGTCTTGGATGTGTACTCGCCTCCATTATCAGATCGGATACATTTTAGCTTCTTTCCTGTTTCACGTTCCACCAAGACGTGAAATGTCTTGAAGCTCTCGAACACCTGATCCTTCGTAATCAGGAAATACACCCACACTTTACGAGAAGCATCATCGATAAAAGTCAGAAAATATCTGCTTCCACCGATTGATTCCACCTCGAAAGGACCACAGACATCGGAGTGTACCAAATTTAACAACTCTGATCTTTTAGCTGAAGTAGAACTAAATGATACTCTATGATGCTTACCAAACAGACAATGACTGCAAGGACCCAGTGCAGCATTCTTGTCGATGTTGATAAGGTTCTTCTTAATCAAGGTATTCAACCCTTTCTCACCGATGTGGCCGAGTCTCAGGTGCCACAGATTCTGAGAAGTCTCCTCAGCAATGTTGAGGCTATCCGTACAAATCCTCAAATGGGTTTTGTACAATGTGCCACAAACATGTCCTCGAGCGATTGTCAAAACGCCCTTTGACATTTTCCAGGTGCCCCTGTTAAAGTGGTTTTCATACCCCTGTTCGTCAAGACATACCACTGACAGAAGATTGAGTCGAAGGTCTGGAACATGTCTGACATCCTTCAAAGTGATCGTGCTCCCAGTATTTGTCTTTATTTGTACATCACCAATTCCAGCTATTCCAGAGGAACTGGAATTGCCCATCTTCACTGCTCCAAAGTCTCCAGCTTTGTAAGTTGTGAAGTAGTACCTGTGGGGAGTAACATGGTAGGATGCTGCAGTATCTACCACCCATTCAGTGTCCTCTCTTGAGACGTGAAAGCATGCTTCGTCATTGATAGTACAATACGACACATCACCTGAGATTGTGATGAGCGCTTCACCACCCTTGTTCTTCGCTTGAGAATTGCTCTTGCCTCGCTCCTCTAGCAATTTGTAGCAATTCTTCTTCATGTGACCCTCTATACCGCAATGGTGGCAGGTATAAGAAGGTTTCCGGCCATCCGAAGATCTCCCCTGACTTTTGCCTCTGCTTTGCCATTTCCCTCTACTGTTTCTTTGTTGTTTTCCTTGTGATCTTCCTCTATTCTCCGTCACAAAGGCATGAGTCTCATCTGTGCTCATGTCTTTCCTTCTTGCCTCCTCATTGAACAGTGCATCCTTGACCACAGACATGGTAAGTTTACCATCTGGGGCTGAGTTGCTGAGAGTAACAACTAGTGTCTCCCAACTATCAGGAAGGGAACTAAGAAGCAGTAGAGATTGCATTTCATCTCCAAGTGGCATTTCTACACAAGATAGTTGATTTACCAGACTCTGAAATTGACTAGTATGTTCGGCAACAGAAGTTCCACTTTTGAGCTTCATATTGACAAAACGCCTCATCAGTAGGGCCTTGTTCCTAGCGGTCTTGGCCTGGTACATATCTTCTAACTTTTTCCAAAGGGCATAAGCATCGGTTTCTTGTGCAACATGGTGGAAGACACTATTGTCAATCCATTGTCGGATTTGACCAATAGTTTTTCTATTAATTTTCTTCCACTCCGTTGACTTGACCGGATCAGAATTAATACCTTTCATCTCTATTGGATCAAAAAGGTCTTTACAACTAAGGAAATCTTCCATCCAAGGTTTCCATAGCATGTAGTTGGTAGCCGTGAGCATAATCATAGCTCCGGAAGATGAAGTTGACTCGTCAAAGGTCATTTAATTTTCACCTTCTAAATAATTTTGATTTTCTGTTTCAGAAAAATCGGAGCCGAATTTCGAAAAACGGGCAGCACCGTTGCGTCCGGAACGGCCGAAAGTGGTGGGTAGGCACTTTCGGGGTCAAAATACAATTTTTGAAAAATTATAGGTGGAAATTATAATTTTCCAAAAATTGAGGGACCAAACTGCAAATTTTCAAAATTACAAACTGACCGGTGACATGGCAGATGACGTGGCGGTGACTGGGCGATGACGTGGCAGCTGACTGGGCGCTGGTGAAAGTTGGCAGTTGACTGGTGACGTGGCGGCTGACTGTGCTGGGACTGCACATGTGTCGCTGACGCAGCTCTGGCTGGTTGATGACGTCAGCGATGACGTCATCTGTCTTCAACCTCTGTCTGCGCGTGATGACGTCAGCATGACGCAGGCAGTTTTTGGCCGGCGTTTGGCGGCGCGTACGGCAGCTTCCGGTGGCCAAAAAAATCCCCAAAAATACCAGTTTTCTCGTCTCGACGAGAAGAATCCAACGGTATATTCAGATTGCAATTCTGAGCAGTACTGAAAAACTCGATTTTTCAGACAGTAGAATTTTATCTGAAAAAAACTGGGAAAAATATCAAAAGCTCAACCAGGCTCTGATACCACTTGTTGGGAATAAGATGATCGTGCTTATATGAGAGAAAAACACTTCTATTACTTTCAAGAATAGAAAGAAGAGACATACAAGCTCTAACTAAAAACTCTCAAAACACCTCACATATCTCTCAAGGATATTCACAACTCAAACTTGGTTGTGGTATTCTAATCTATGATCTAAATTGCTTGATGATAGAAAGACTCTCCAAGCTCTCTATTTATAGCACCAAAACTAGGTACTATGAAGGTGGAAGGAAGCTTCAATGGTGGTTGGAAGGAAGGTCACTCCTAGGTGTATGGAAGCTCCATTTGTCATTCTTGCACATGGAGGAAGCTTCATGGAAGCTATGAATTGAATTCTTCAATAAGGTCAGACAGAAACTTGAGCTATGATGTTTTTCAGGAGTGTGTTTAATTTGTGACTGGTTCAGTTTAATTCATGCAATTTATTTTTGGAAGATTTAATTCATGTGATTTCAAACGCCTTATATGAGATTATATAGTAAATTATATAGATTTGAACAAAAATGAATGGAAACTTGCCTTTGTTGCTCATTGCACAAGTCACAACAGCCAGCTAACTTAAGTGGAGCATCATTAGAAATTTATCTGCAATGCTGTTTAAACTTTAGATGCCTGATTGCCGGTGGCTTTGTATATTTTACGTAATATGGATAGGTGGGATTTAATGTTACATACAAGCATTAATTTATATGGACTTATGAAATCGACCCAATTGCTGTTTTTATTGATTTTAGTTGATTTTTTAGCTACATGTTATTTACGTTGTCATTAAAATGATAAATATTGTGTGATAAGTTTTGTAAAGTTATTAGCCAATGTCGTTTCATAAAACATTTTTTATTTTTCAGTCTAATTGTTTACATTACATTTTTTGTTTCGTTCTGTCCAATACAGAAAATGGGAAATGCGAACATGTCAAACAAAGACGATTTGGTGATATGTTTTATGGAGTATTTTAATTCGTCCGATCCGGTGATATGTCATCCTATGAAATACAAAAAGGATGTTTGACTTTAAATATCTCACGATGTTTTTACTTGGACTGTAATTTGTCCCAGACCAGACCAGACCAGACCAATCCAGACCAGACCAGACCAGTTCAGACCAGACCAGACCAGACCAGACTTGGATAGTTATAAAAATACAAAGAAACCAGACCTTACCAGACCAGACCAGACCAGTTCAGACCAGACCAGACCAGCAAATTACAGTCCAAGTAAAAACATCCTAATACCACAAACCGCAAGATGTTTTAATATGGAAAAAGAAACGGAAATTGTCCTAAATAGGACTAATAAGTTCCTAAAAAGCACAAATAGGACTATTATTTTTAAAATTCCCTAAATAGGACTAAACATTGATTTTCTACCCTAAATACCCCTAAAAGTATTAATCCATAATAAAATGCTTTAATTCATAATAAAATCATAAAAAACGTAAAAAATATTTAAAAAAACGTAAAAAAATTATAAAAAATTTATAAAACAATTATAAAATAAAAAAATTAATTTTTTATTTTTTTTATTTTTTTAAAAAAATAATAAAAAATAGAAAATACCCATAAAAAATGAAAGGAATTATGGATACCTTTCTCACCGCCTCCCGCCGCCTCCCGCCGCCTCCCAGCACCACCACCTCCGATTGGTGAAATTTCTTCCACTTTTGGTAAAAAATGCCATATTTTTCTGAAAATGCCAAAAAGATGGCATAATTACTCTTCAATATGCCAACATTTTCATTGAATATGCCATCATTATGGCATTATTTAAAATGTTGGCATATTTTTCTCCGGTGATGGGAGATGGTGGTGCTGGGTGTGGCAGGGGTGGTAATGTTTTTTTTTAATTTTATGATTTTTTTATTTATTTTTTATTCTTTTTAAAAAAAATATTTTTTTTATTTTTTTTTAAAAATATTTTTATTATTTTTCTATTATTGTATTACGAATTTTAGTATTTTTTTCGATTTTTATTAATTTTTTTATGATTTTATTATTAATTAAAACATCTCACAAGTTACAAGGGTATATTTTTCCAAACACACATAAATAGTCCTATTAAGGGAATTAAAAAAATGTAGTCCTATTTGTGCAATTTTGTCACTTTTTAGTCCTATTTAGGGAATTGACTCAAAAAGAAATCATCGTTTTATATTTAATGTTTTTTATATGATCAGGAATAAATATGAAAGCGTTTACTTAAATGAATGGCATCTTTGTTTTCTTTTCTTTTTTTTTCTTATACTACCTGCGTTCTTAAATAAATGCAACACTTTGACTTTTACACTATATTCACATGTTCTACTTTGACTACGTTTTATTTATTAATATAATAATATTTTTTTATGAAAAAATATTGTTAAACTTGTCTCATTGTCAATTTTCATAATCTAATTTTTTAAATTTTTTACTAATACAAAATCATATATATTAATGGTCAAAGTTGTGTCTCGGTAAGTGTGAAATGTTGACCGTTGCATTTATTTAAGAACGGAGGAAGTATGTATATTCAAGGCTGAATGAGATTCATTCCTCGAGATTTCTCAAATTTGAAGCAGTACACGGCTTGCTTAATAGCACTAAGGAGTGAGCTGTGAGTAATTCAAGTGTGGGTATTCGAACAAGATGTTGGCAATGTATAATCTTCAACGATAATATATATGAAGATGATTTTTGAGAGAGATGATGTTAATGATGATCTCCCATTCGTTATATGTGATTCGTCCAAAGCTTTTTTAGTTTGAAATGTTATAGTTATTCTTAAGTTAAATCTACTATCATTATACTACGTATTACTATGGCAATAAAAATGTTGTTGAATAAAAAATAGAGATAATTCCCTGAATGGGACTAAATTAATGTTGAAGTGCACAAATAGGACTCTCATAATTTATAGGACCAAAAATGAACTAATTAGACAAGATTACCCTTACTGAAACCTTCCCCCAGCGCATTGCTTCATTCAACGACGCTAACTCCAGATGCCTCATTCCAGATGCCAACTCCAAACTGCAACACCTTCAGCACCTTCTCTCCACAGCCGTTGCTGTCAAAACCGATGCCGCAACTAATTGAGACCGCCGCCGCAGTTGTCGCCGAGATTGCCGTTGCACACCTCCAGTGAGGAGATTCACATCATCCTACAGCGAGAATGGTGCTACCGCTAAATTCTTCTCTAGAGATGTTGGCATTTTCTTAACCACTGCTACCTCCTTTGAGTTGGTATTAATTTTAGGAAAAACTGCAATTATGATAACAATAATGACAAAAAAATGGCATTTCTACATGTAAAAAAATGAAAATTTCAAATTACAAATTATGACATTTTCACATTTTAGAGTAAAAAATGTGAAATAGGAGAAGAAATACGAAGAAGTAATGTTTCCCAAATTCAATTCAATGCCTTCAAAATGCCACAATTTGTGAAAATGTCAAAACTTTGGCATTTTCAAAGATGTCATATTTCCATCTCCATAAAAAATGCCATAAATGTGGCATTTCGTACAAGTCGATAAAAATACACAATAATAAAATTTAGATCTGAAATTTTTTGAAAAGAGCCTCGAAAGTTCATTCCCAAATGTTCTGAATTCAAAATTTCAGATCAAAAATAAAGTTTTTCCTTTAGAATCGAAGAAGTATTCGAACAAATTAACAGAAAGTAATAATAAATGCAAGAGGAACTGAGAATAGAGGAGTACGAGGAAAACTGAGGAGAAGAGGAGAAGAAAGAAGAGAAAGAGGAGGGAGGGGTTACCTGTAGAGACGATGCTGGCTGGAGTAAGGCGCGAGGAAGAGAACTCCATGGGAGAGGAGTTGCCTACGCTGAGAAGAAGATCCGAACCAGAGGAGTAAGGTGCCGATGCAGAAAAGACATGGACATATGATTTTATTGTAGCAGGGGCAAAATGGTAACACGCAGTCCCATTTAGGAAAAATATATGATTAACTCCCATTTAGGAATTTTTATCATAATTTGGTCCTATTTAGGACAACAAACTCTAAAAAATACATGAAGCGTGTTTATGTTTTTTAAGGCAGATTATGGGGATACAAGTGTTCCCGTATATATGTGTACACTGCGGAGCTCTTTTTTGCTACAGGAAAGAGTTAAATCAACACCCACAAAGAAAAATTCAAAACTCTCCCTTTGTACCCACACGGCAGAGTTAAAGACTTAAAGTCCCATATATATATGAAGGAGCCATGATTGTTATTGCAGTGATTCATACGAAGTATTTCATACAAGACACAAGTGATAAGAGTATGCATTTTATTGGAAATATGCATACCTACTAGCTAGGGGTGAACAAAAAAACCGAAAAACCGAAACGGACTGCCAAACCGACTGAAACTGACCGACCAAAACCAAAACCGACCAAAACCGAAACGATAAAACCGAAATCGACCGAAAGTGACTAATTCATCGGTTATTCGGTTTACGGGTTCATACCTTTGTCTTAAAAAACCGGTCAAATGAAAATAAATTAGCAAAAATGGCTAAAATCGATATAAAACGATTCAAATTGACCAAAATTGACTTGATTTTTTCTGTCCGATTCTCGGTTTCATCTATTTTTAAAGTCGTTAAACCGCCCGACTAAAAATCTAAACCAATCAAAACCGACCGACTAAAACCGAAATCGAATAAAACTGAACTGATAAAACCGAAACCACCAAAACTGAACCGACGAACATTCCTAATACCTACAATAGTATACATACATGTTTTCTTTCATTTGATCAATGGGAGGGAGATCGAAAGCAATATTAATAAGGGTACGTTGCCGTTGGTTTTAAAGTTTCGTGGTTAAAATTGTCATCTAATACAAAGTTTATTACCAATGGAAGGAACAAGAACGAAATGTGTTCAACTCTAATTATGAGAAAGAAAATGATTTTCAAAATAGAATTTCAGTTGTTAGATATTATTTGAATTTTTGTTTCTCATTTTTGTTTCATGTTAATTAACTCCAAATTTTTTTAGGAATAATGGTTGGATGTTGTTGTTAAGGTATTATTCAAATGAAATTGTTTTTTATTACCACTTTTCTTTTTGAAATAAATTGATTATTTTAATATTTAGTACTCCGTAGTAAATATGATATACTCCCTCCGTCCCAAATTATTTTGCAAAATCAACATTTTTTGGTCAACCAACAATAAAAGTCAATCCTCGCTATTGATAATTAACTCAATGTTTAATAATAAAAATTTACATATTCAGAAAATACTTTAAAATCTCTTCAAAGTTACGAACTCCAAATTAGAATATAATTAAAAATTGACATCCTTATTAAGCAAATAAAATGAAACTGTTTGACCAAGAAAAGTCAAATTTGCAAATCAATTTGGGACGGAAGTAGTAGTATAATCTAAAAACACTTTCAAAGGAGATATAATCTCCCTACTGTGAATGATGGTTGCTTTATTGATATTATACGAAGTATTAGATAGATTATTATACTTTTTTTTGCAGTTGTGTATACAATCAAGTTTAAATACCGTGATCTCCAACATGCATATATTGTTTTGAATTCGTGTAGTAAAAAATCTTATGATGAATGGGCATAGAGGTAGAGCCACACATTGAACCAATATAAAGAATATATTTGAAAAAGAATTCAACAATTTATTATTATTATTTGGGGTTGACCATGACCTATATTGGTCCCCTCTAGCTCTGCCCCTGAATGGTTGCTATTAAGTTTTGAAATATTGTTTTAGTCTTTTAGAATCTTTAAATTTACACTAATATTGCTTGGTTTATGTGATTGGTATTAACATTTGAAATATATGCATTAATTATGAATTGAAATATTTTTATGTTTTGCTTTATTGTTTGAATATTTTTTTTAATGAATACATGGAATATATATTTCGACCGTGCATCGCACGTGTGACATACTAGTACATGACAATGAATAAATGAATGTATTGAGGAATTGTGTTGTTCTAGCATATATATATATATATATATATATATATATATATATATATATATATATATATATATATATATATATATATATATATATATATATATGTCGTCACTTAATTTGTCCCGGAAAAAGTCGTGGAAAATATAATCGTACAACTTTAACCCATAATTATTGCACTTTGTTACGGATTTTGTCACGAAATTTTCTGTGACAAAACCCGAGATAATTATTTTTTAACTTTTGTCACGGATTGGATCCGTAACAACTCGCCTAACAAAAATAATGTTCATCAGGCAACCACTATATTAATAATTGTGTCAAATCAAAGTAGGACACATAAATGAATTTTAGCTTTGTAGAGTTTCAATACCTTAAATATTGTTGAAACTAATAATTGATTTTCATGAACAAAACATTAGATCATATATTGTATGATCGATTTAAGTGTGTTGGGGTACAATCAATTAAGTCTAGTATAATCTGTTTGAATCTGTTGATCTAATCTCCACATCACATTAATAAGAATGACTACAAGAGAATGGATTTGTCACAGAGATAATGGATACAAAAAAGTTCAAATCAAGTTAAATAAAATTACATTGATACAAACAAATGGAGAGTAGGGATGGGGAAAATTGTTTGGTTTGACCGAATTAAACCGAACCGAAAAATTGTTGGTTTGGTTTGGTTTGGTTTTACTTAAGTAAACCGTTTGATAGGAATTTACTCAAACCGAATGGTTTGGTTTGGTTTTATTTTAAACCGAAAATCGAACACCGAACAACTTGTAATGTGTGTGTGTAAATACTTTGTATTTTTCTTGACTCTTCATCTTTAGCATATATCATTTTAACTTTCGACAAAGTTAGCTAATACGACATATTTGTATTTTTTATGTTTTGCACTCTACCTATATGATTTAGTAATAACAATAGCAAATTGCATTTTATATTTTTGCATGATTCATTTGCATAAAAGTGTTAATATTACAACATTTGCATCACTGACTGGTTAAGTTTTCTTTGAATAAATACACTATAAATTTATTTTTTATGAGAAGTGAATATTTTTCTAGTGATTGAAAAGATGTAAGAAGCTTTAATTTATACGTAGTAATATATTATTATTTCTCTTTCGATCTTTTATTTCCTCTTACATTTCATTTAAATAATAAATAAAACAAGATTAGATGGACTAATACTTTCAATTTATACTTCTAAACTTGATCAAATAAAATCATAAACATAAGAAACTAAATCAAATCGAATTAAATTGAACCTAATAATTTCTACGGAGTACTTTGGAAAACCAAACTTCAAACAGTTTGATTCAAGTGGTTTTAGTTTGGTAGAAATTCTCTGAAACCGAACCGAAACCGAATAAAACTGAACAGTAAATCGAATTGCCCGCCCGTTGAATACTCCATGCTTGGTTTAAATTAAAAAGCCTAATATTTACTTCTTCTTCTTTTCATTTTCCGTTTCCACATGTTTTTGGTGCAGGATTCCCCTTCAGCACGTTTAAAAAGATCATCACCTTCTTCACGTATTTACTGCAGGTTTTCTGTATTCAACACCGGCCAACGAGGAAAATCCGCATCATATTATCCTGCGTGCTTTGTACGTACATGATAGATTATGATAATCTTCCCAGGATTCCCGGCCAGCCAGGTTGTTTATTAATTAGGTCTCCCCATCCAACGTATGTACCTTGCTAGCTTTAAACACAGTTAGTTCATATTAGCTACATTTGATTCAAGGAAATGGGCAGCATTCAGAAGACCAAGTTTAGCTTTCGCAAGTCTTTTTATTCACAGAATTGCTCATATATTTAAACAAACCGATGAGTCATCCCCCTCTGCATGTATGACACGTGTCCCATGTCCTTCTATATAAACGTATCCGAGTCAGCAGCAGTATATTTATAGTATAAACGATCACACCATCACTGCCATATATTCTATACTCGATCAACCCGGCAATTGAACTAGCTGCTATTCTTATCTTTACAGGAATTGATCGAGATGGCGGATAACGTTCCGTTTAGCTTTCACAGGCGCTTTTGTCCGGAGACTTGCTCAAGAACAATGGTTTGTGTTCTTTTCAAAGATTTCAGTACCTTTTATTAATTTTAATTCACAAGAAAAATATTAGTGTGTGTGTGAGAGTTGAACATGAAATCAAATGGCCGGGATGGATTTTGAATTTCTCTGAATTTTGCAAGCCATATTCGTCTCTTTTGAATTTCTCTCGATTTTGCAAGTTCCGTTTGGTGCATGATGTTTACAAAATTGTACCGTATATTATAAGTTGTACTTGAATGAATGGTAAAATCGCATTCGCCCTTTTAAGTTTTATGCACCACAATTTGTGTATAATTTTCATTTATACACCGAGTCCATAGGTGCTTGACTCATCAACAACATATACGTAGTATATGCTTTGTTTGTGTGTGTTTTATTTGTTAACTGATCTTTTCACGTTCAATTCCTCATTAGTTAACCCTTATTTCTTGAAAAGGAAATCCCCACCATTTCATATATGAATTCTGTGCCAAGGGAGTTCTTGCAAAAATCTTTGCCAAAAAGTGTATTACTTAGGAATTCAGATATGGAAATTTGGAGCGTGAGGATATCACAAACTGAAGTTGGTATTTACTTCAACAAGGGTTGGGAAAAGTTCGTGGCCGACCACGGTTTAAAAAGTGGCCATCATTTGATTTTTGAGTATGACGGCAAAGGCGTTTTTGACTTTTTGTTATTTGACGATAAGTCAAATGTGAAGATCGATGTTACGAAAAGGATGGGAAAAAATGACAGTGGAAAGGCACTTAAAACTCTTCCGGTGATCAAGAAAGAAACCGACACAGAGGTTGGTGGTGATCATCATGGTGGTAAAGGGAAAGACAAAGAGAAGGAGGCAGTAGCATTGGATACCAACGTTCCACATTCGAAGAGTAAGTTTAAAGAGACACAACACATACAAACAACTTGTATTATTTTTCTTTTTTTTACTTGCTGAGCCAGTATTTTTGTAGTTTTATTTGTGAAATTTTCATTTGATTGTATAGGGAGACGACCTAAGAGAGATGGTTGTGCTGGGAAGAAAAAGTCCAAGGTGGAAATTAGGGATGTCCCCGACCATTATGGACTTGATATTTTCAAGTATGGGCATTATGATCAACCAATAAACACTTATTTTGTGACAAGAATCCATCAAACAAAGCGCAATGACTTGGTAAATTCCCAACATTTGATATAAAAAATGAGTATTGGACTATCCTAATAACTTCCTAAATAAAAATAACAATAACATTATCTTAAATGTTTGCAGTACATACCGATGGATGTGCTCGAGGATATCATATTGCCTCCATCTATGCTCTTGCGTGACCCGAGCGGAAAAGAATGGAAAACTAACACAAAGGCGTGGGGTGATGGTCGAACATGGCTGACCGGGGGTTGGTTTGATCTGTGCCAAGAGAATCGCGTGAAAATAAATGATAGGTTAATCTGTGAGTTTTTGCCGCAGGAGGAGGGAAAGGACGTCACGGTCTTGCATGTCACCGCCATCATCCGAGAGTCTGCTTAACGGTTGATGCTTTATGTGTGAAGTTCTCTATGCCCAGATGACAATTAGCTCTATGTGTTTGATGGTTCAATTCCCTTTCTTATTTCTCTATATTACTATGACATTGTAGCTTAGTTTATAATACTTTAATTCTTTTTCAATTTTAAATGATTCTACATTTCTACAGTTTCATTCTTTGCTGCTAGTATTCTTTTGAGATTCTCCTATATACTCGATCTAATGTGATTCTGACTTCGTTTTATTCTTGTCATTAATCACGATTTTGAAAAAATCTTCATTTTAATCATAAACATATAATTAGTTCTAATTAATAAGAATAACATGGGAATGGATTTGTGACAAATATAATGGATGCAAAAAAAGTTCAAATTAAATAAAATTAATGACATTGATACAAACAAATGGAATTATAAAAATCCCCAATTTGATACTCCTTACTTCGTATAAAAAGCCTGATATTTACATTTTGTGTTTTTCATTTTCTGTTTCCACAATCCTACCTAGCTAGGTACCTACCCCTTCTCCTTCCCGTATTTGCTGCAGGTTCCCTGTATTCAACATTACCGGCCAACACATTTTTTTTCTTTTTTCAAAATATGTTTGACTGAGATGATGGAAAGCATTCAATTCGTGATGATGATCATCTAGCGTGGGGATCATTGATTCATTGTACCGAGGAAAATCCCAGTCATCAGACTATATAACACGTGTTTATATATATAGTGCCAGCCATCTAACGTACCACTTTGACCGAGCGGCTTGACTCGTTTGTAAATTCTAGGGGTGGGCATGGGTGGGGACGGTTCGGGATTAGGGTTATCCCGGTCCCGTCCCAATTAATAATAGCGGGACGGGACGGTACGGGATAAGCCTTTGTCCTAGTATTGTCTCATTTAAATCGGGATGGGACGGTACGGGATAAGCCTTTGTCCTAGTATTGTCTCATTTAAATCGGAACGGGGATGATTCGGGACGGTTCGGGACGGTTCGAGACGTCCCAAACTAACAAAAAACAATCATTTGCAATTAATATATATTTGCATTTCTAAAGTATCATGCACCAAAATATTAACATTTTAAAAGTTAATTGATGTTCATCACAAGCTAAAAGCTACCAAGTATTAGATTTTAGTTAGGTTTAGCAAAATTTGAAATTTAAATTTAAAACAAAGCAAAAATGAATTAGTTTATTCAAAATCATGAGTTCTAGTTGTGAGATACTCATATGTAGATATATAAAGTGAGATAAAAACCTATGTTAGTAAATATTTATGTTAGGTATTATTTTTAATTTAAAAATTGGGCTTGAAAAACTAAAAACATGTTATCATTTATTTTTTGAGTTGACACTACAAACTAGTCACATGCTACAAAATCTATATACGTAGTAGTTATTACAAACGGGACAACGGGACGGTTCGGGATAACCTTCCAATGTCCCGGTCCCGTCCCGTTTTAAACCGGTATAGTACGGGACCGGTGTGGGACAAAATCAATGAGACCCAAACGGAACGGGACAACACCGGTACGGTTTCGGGATATACCGGAATGGGACAACGGGACCGCGCGGGATTCTTGCCCGCCCCTAGTAAATTCTACTCTTCGTTCAAATTGCATCTATGATTTCACACATTACACTTTATAAACCATTGTTTTAAATAGCGGTAGCGGCAGGCCGGCAGCGGTAACGGTCTATACCCACCTGCAGCGGTTGCAGCGACATGAAATATTTTCAAATGCGCAAAACATATACTCCGTATTTAATACATGAAATATTTTCAAATGAAATATTTTGTATATTCTAAATAATTTTCAATAAAAAGATATACGTACTTCTCCGTCCCGAAAATATATTATTTATATGAAAAGTTGTTCTCCATTCACAATCAAATTTAAGAAGAGGACCATGCATTGCAACTTGCATAATCCATAATAATATCACTTCTGTTCCAAATTGTTTTGTTAAGTCAACATTTTTTTGTTAACCGATGATAAAGTTAACACTAGTAGAAAACAAGCTTATAGTGACACTTCTATAGTGACACTTTCTGTTATAATTTCATTAGTGATATAGAAGTGTCACCATTTTCTAACACAAAAACATCACGACCACACAGTGACACCCATGACTACTTTTTACGGAGTATTTGGACTATTTTACTTATGGGCCTGCGGATTCCTTCTAACATTTCAACCCTTTTCCATTAGGTCTTTCCCTTCATTCTACGTACAAGCTCTAACTCTCCTTCTAGAACTCCACTGGCCGTCATTCTGGGTCCTCCCGCTTGCTCACTGGGTCTCCTTCTTTAGCGATTATCGTCGCTGGGTCTCATTGGGTCTCCTTCGTCACTGGGTCTCCCTCGAAGAAGATAACAGGTGCGGCTCTGGGTGTGAGCGTGGAGTTGTGGAGGAATAGATACCTGGTGACTACCTTGGCCGCTCGGAGAAGATATACGGATGGTTTCCGCTGCGATTTCCATCCATGGATGGAATAAGGGGCCATCGCAGGGATGCCGCCGCCTGGTCGCCGTTCATCTCCGAGTTGCAATTTAATTATTCAAATTAAGGTTCATCCTTTTGCCATGGATATTATATTTTCTTGATTTTTTTGTCCAAAGAACATATCTCCGTACATGGTTTGGCTTAGACTTGCTTTGCATTTCCCCCCTTTTCCTCTCCACATCTCCAATCTTAACAATTAGTCTCCCAATTTCTTTTTCAGTTCAACCCTATCTGAAATATCTACCCCTATCACCTCCATCTTGTAAGATTCTCTTTATTTTTCACTCTCTTTTCACTCTTTAATAATGTATCTTATAGATTGTGATTGTATTCAAGTCTTGCTAGCATTGTTGGTTCTAGAATTGGACATTTTATTTGGTTTGTTTTGGTTAATATTGAGTGTAGTTGACTAGTTGTACAATGAAGAGTAAGAATTGAATTTAAGAATAATTAAAAGTTTTTCTTGTAAGAGATCCTTTGTTTTAAGTCTTGAAGTTCATGGACTGCATATATGATGGTAGTTATGGACTTTCATTAATTTGTAACTGAACTTGTTTACAAATAATGTGTTTTATTTTTATTTATCAGGTTCTTCTGTTTATGTTTTAATTTATTGTTCTCACACCATCTTATACTTGACCATTTTGTGTGTATTGGATATATATGTTTTTGACAAGCAGTTTGAATTTTTACAGTCACTTGTATTACCAATGTGAAATAAAAAATCAAGCAAAAAAAAGCATCCCTTGTCTTTATTAGTAGGAATTTGATGGATCTTTAATTAGATTTCTTGTTTTTATAAATAGTTTGTCTATTTATGAGATTTTTGGTACCTGAGGTTTACAACAGTCGTATTTTGCTTATAAGTGAGTCATCATCTGATTCATTATCCTTAATCAGAGATGGTGATCGGCTTGTTGCTTATCGTATGCTGAAGAGGAGCAGAGAAGCCCCCTTAGTTGTGTTTATTCATCAACAAACTGAGGAGTAAGCACTAACTTGCCTCTTGATACACTATTTTTTTTTGTATAGCGGTATGTCTCTGTATGTTTGTATTCATGTTTGTGCTTTGCATGTAGAGAAAAAGAACCTTTTGAGATTTTGATGTTGCTTCTTCCTCAGATTTAGTGTCAAGCGTGAAGGATGAATGTCTTTTGAAGTGTGTCACTTCTTTATTCCTATTATTTATATTATTATATTATGATTTGTCGTAAAGCTGTTTTGTTGTTGTTAAGAAATGCACAGATTAGAGGAATGACAGAGTTTCAAAAAGGTAGCCTATTTATATTGTGTTGTATGCAACTGCGTAGGATTGGTTATTTGCTTCATCTTTGTAGCTACTTTGATTTTGAATGTGCAAGTTTTGGTTCTTGTTGATGTTATTTAATTTGGTGTTTTCTCTTCCATTATTGTTATCTCTAGCCTTACCCGTCAATTATGATGAAAGTAACTCTAACATTCTACTCATTTACTTTTAATCTACTTATCATATTCAAACCTCAATTTTGCATTTTTCTTTATCTTAGAAGTCCAAGACACCTACCACCTCCTGGAAGATTATTCTTGACAGGTAATCTGTTATACACATTTGTTGTAGTTCTTGAGGATTTATAAAGTCTAACCAAATGTAGATCAACACTTCGTAGCAGCTGTACATTACAGAGATGGATTTAATATTGAGAACTATCTTCTTATCTGTCAAGTATAAACTATAAAAGTAAATAATTAATTTACTAACTATCAGAGTGATGAGCTATGCAAAACAATATAAACAGAAAACAAGTTTTGATGAAACCAGCTTAGATAGTTAGTTTCTCAAAATATGGATATATACCTTATAACCTATAATGAATACGAATAGACTCCATAAAATTAGAAATTGACATTACTATTTGTTGGCTTATTTAACACAACAGTGAAAACCATATAATATCTAGTGTTAGTGATTGCTCACGTTTTCTTCTATCATTTGTGACAGATCATAGTAAGTTTGGAGCAACACCATTTGGGTTACTAGAGCAATTTCCCTCGATCCTTGGAAGAAAAAAACATCTTTGTGAATGTAACTAGCACATTTATATGTCTCACTTTAGTTTCTACATTTTTTATCATTGTATTTTACCTGATTTTCTCTTTTGCTCGATGGACTGATTTAAATTTCATCCACCTTTTCAGGTTATATGTGATTATGGTGGAGTTGGCAAAGAGTCGTGTTTTTTGTCTTCAAAACGCCATAGTTGTGATTAGTTTCAAGTAGAAATGTTGTACTAAGTGTAATATTGTTATATTGTAGAATGTTGTAAGGAAATATTGGTAATGACTCTTTGAATGTTTTGTATTACAGTTTAAGCAAGAAATGAAAATGTTGATTGGTTTGATTATTTATATTCGATTGTTGATCTTATTTTTTAATCATTACATTTTATAAGCTAATTAATATAATATATACTAGGTGTTATATTTTTATTGATACCAAGGTATCATGTACATTTATGATGCTGGTGTGTCGAAAAAATTTTATGATACTATAGCATCATAGTTTTGTACGATATTATAGTGTCATTATTTATTGAC